CCCCCCCTGCCCCCCCCATCCTGTCTCTCCTGGCTGGGTCCTGCTGGGCCAGCCCCTCCTTTCCCCCAGATTATCCTTTGCGCAGGGGGTGGGGGTGGGAGGGTTGAGGCTCCAGGTGACTTCATCTCTGCACCTGGTCTTCTGATTTCATGTCATTGCATCAGCTTAGGATGATTCATCTTTCTCTCATCTGCACACACCCTCTTCCGTGGAGCCAAACGGACTCCGAGTGCAGGTGGACTGAGGATGGACAGGGGAGGCCCGGCCCCTTTCTCTACGGACAGGAGCAGGCAGGGCTTGGACTGGACCAGGGGAGGCCTGGCGGTGGGGGTGATGGTGCTCTTCCTCCTCCTCCTCCTCCTCCTCCCGCATCCCCTTTTTCTCCCTCGGACCCTCTTGGCACTCCGTCCAGGCTTTGCCCTGTTTTGGCAACCTTCCCCCGCCCTGCCGCCCACCAGCGGTGGTGGAGGCCGTCCTCTGCCCACGGCCTCTGATGCCCCAGAACATCTTCTCGTGGGTGTGTGGGTGGGGGTGGGAGGGAAAAGGGGGCAGGGCAGGCCTCTGCCTTCTCAGGAGGAGGACAGTAAAGATGCCCGCCTGGGCTTTCCCACCGGCTCTTGCTGCTGCCCGTCTCGTCCTTTTGCAAGCTGGCGGGTGGGGAGCCTCAGCCCTGGGGCCCGCTCGCACCCGACGGCCATCCCTGCCTGGCCCACTCGGCTTCCCCAGTCCTGCGTCGTTTCCTCCTCCCAGCTTTTGCAAACCCTCTCAAAGGTCAAGACCTCTCCCTCAGGCTTCCTTCCGGACAGGGAAGAGACCAGAACTGGAAATGTGCTGGACGTTGGGGGGGGGAGACCAAGGAGGGGGTGGCTGGCTGGCTGGCTCTGCTTCTCCACCAGGCAGGGGTGTTTGCATGGCAACAAGGAAAGGCAGGCGACCAAAACAGGCTTGCCCGTGCGTGCGCGTGGTCGTCTCCAGAAAAGCCACGGCTGCCTTCTGTGCCTGCCATCTGTTGGCACTAGCTGCAGAAATGGCGGGCAAAAGGGAGCCGCCCCTTCCTCTTCGCCCCCCCCCACACACCCACACACCTTGTATACAACTTTGTCAAGAGGGTGGGGGAAGAGCGTCTTGGAGGTTAAGCCCCCCCCCCCCCCCGCCCCACGCT